AAGCAGAATGACTAAGGCTTTGCAATTGACAAATTAATTATATATATATATATATTATATATTTATTACTATTGTAACTGATTTTATGGCTTATAAATTAATATATTCAAATTTTTATTTAAGAATAAAAATGCTTCACATTTAAATAAATATTTCAAATATAAATAAAATATTATTAGTCAACACACTATTAGCTGAAATATGTTGAATTATAATTTTTACTCTTATATTTTATACCATATTAAATTAATTTATTTTCTAGTTAATTTTTATTTAAATGAAATAATTCATTTTAAGCAAAATAATTACCTCTTAGGCTTTGTTTGGGACTGCTTTTTTATTGCTTCTTAAATTAATTTTCTAACACAAAAATTAAAATTTTTATTCTAAAAAATTACTTTAAGAAAATAGTACGAAAGCCGTCCCAAACGAAATCTTAGCAAATTATTAAGCATGAAGAGGACAATGAATTAAATGCCAAAGAAACTTTTGATAACATTATATATAGAACAAAAAATGGAATAAAACTATAAAAGCTTTGGAGAAATCGATTACAATTATTGTAGCATAATTTTTCAACATTTGTTGATAAAATAAAATAAATAAAAAAATAAAAGCTAGAGCCACTTCCACTAATTTTAACCCAATAACCAATGTACAAAAAATTGATCCACATTTGTCCATTTTTTATTTATTTTTTATTTTTTGATCCACATTTGTCTTAAATTAGGGCAAACAACTATGAGAATCACTTGATACAAGATGATTTTTAAATAATGTGGCTTAATATTTTTTATAAATTAGTTTGTTTTGTGTAAAACTATATGTTTGTTTGTGTTATTAATATTTTTTTAAAATTTATTAATAAAAATATTAATTTATTGTATCTACTAAGAAACAATTAATATTAATCTTACAAATATTAGGATTTGCTTAAATTTATATTATATATATATATATTATATATATATATAATATATATATATATATATATATATATATACTATATATATATATATATATATATATATGATGCGTCACCAAAAATTATCTTGATGAGGCACGAAGCTTGAGGCATATTCAAATTGAAAATTTTTTAAATTAAATTAGGAACCATCCAAACTCTGATTAAAAACTTATAACAAATTGAATATCTCAAGGAGACAAACCCAACAAACATCAAAATCGGTACGATTCGAAGTGTATTTAGAAGTTCAAAACATTATTTGGATGACCAAATGATCTTAAAAATGACATGCTTATAGTTTAATCGAGCAGCTCGGCGGAACGAATTCAACAAGCCTAAGATCGCTTAATTTTGACATCATTAAGTCCCTTAAACACTTTGAAAATGCTTATATGATCAGGAGAATCAATATGGGTCACCGATGGAACACTCAGAACCTGTCCTAGATCTTCTTATATTTATAGGAGTGTCACTCACCAAAATATATAAATAGACCCTCTCTACATGTGAGGGACTTTGAAATGGAGATTGAAGAGAGCTCCGAGACTTCAAAAGCTCCAGCACCATCTCCGGTGAACCTCTATTGACCATCATCGAACTGTCAACTGCTATCGGACTACTGCCCGACCATCATAGGACCACCTCTTGACCATCGTCGGACCATCACCCAACCATCGACCAAGTGGACTCCCACCAGAGCATCGTCAAACCACCCCTGACTGTCAATCGGTTTCATACTTTCACCCGATTGTGAATTTCACCATCGAACCTCTGTCATGGCCATCATTAGAATACCGCCCGGCCTCCGACCGATCGAACTCCTGCCCACAATCATGGACCACGCAGTCGCCGACTTTCTCTGAACTCCGCCGAACGCCGTTCGACTTCACCCAACTCTCCAAAACTATTGTATTTTACCGCCTCCAAGTCAAGTAATGGGGCCTTTGTCATTCACTCAAATAATGTTGTAATCATTTCACTTGGGCGAGGCCCCATGATTTTTCTCTCTGAATTTCCAAGTAAACATTTTTTAGTGTTTTCCTACCCTATTTCAAACTATCTATTGTGTGCTAGATATTCGTGTATCACTAAGAAGAAAATCACTCACTCGCAAATATTCTAGCCCGCAACAAACAATATTAAATGTACACGAATACACAACATCAAGCATTATCCACAAAATCTAATATTGTCCTTGTCAAGTCTCAAGTTTTTAATGAGAAAAATAAAGGATTATGTTAGTCAAAACAATATAAAATTTATCAAATAATCATAATATGACTGTGAGCGCACGCTCACACATATATATACATAACTAGACTATTTATCAATTTTGTTTTGCCAATTTTAAAATTTTTCTTAGCACAACCCTTAATAAAAAAAAATTATAAATTTATGTTAAAATTATATTTATTAATTTTACATGTTCTAATTATATTATTGCTATATATTATATACGCAGCTTAGACTGAATTGACTAATTGTTATTTTTTTAAAGTGTTTAAACTAATTATTAGTTTAAACTTAATGTTAGATATCTTATAAGTTAATTAACTACATACCTAAACCAAACATTAATTAAAACTTAAATTAATTTAATACACAATAAGAAAGTAATCACATGCAATAAATAAAAATTAAAATTTATTATTTAAAATTATTTTTATTAATACATAAATTTTTTTTTTTAATTCTTTCATATAATAATGTGTATGGCATCCATGGAACTTTCTCAAACGCCAAAGGCTAACAACCACCAACAAGTTGCAACTTACAAAATTAAAATTGCTATACAAACTTATTTAAAATTAAAATTTATTTGACTTTGGTTAAGTCTTGTGGAAGTAAATGAAAATTAAAAAATTATAAATCTCATTCTCCACTCATTTGGCATCTTCTTAGTCTTCAAAATAGTATTAAAAAGTTTAGTAAGCCATGAAATTCCTTCATCTCCTAAGCATTTCCACACCTCTATTGGAATATCATCAGGTCCAACAGCTTTTCCACCCTTCATTTTCTTTAAAGCCTCTCTAACTTCAGTTTTACTAATACGCCGATAAAAACATAAATCTTTATTTTCATCTAGGGTGCTAAGGTCACTATAGTCAATTTTATTTTCACAATCTTCATTAAAAAGTTTAGCAAAATATCTCATCCATCTTTGTTGAATAACATCTTCTAAGAAAAGTATTTTTTGATCTAGAAAGCTGCTTTAAGTAGTAAAAAAGCCGTCCCAAACGAAGCCTAAGTTTCGTTTGTGGTAGCTTTCTTATTATTTTTTAAAGCAGGTTTTTAATAAAAACAAATTAAGCCAAAAATTTGTGTATTGTGAAGCTACTTTAGAATGGACTAAGAAAGCCGTCCCAAACAAAGTCTTAGTTGTTATGATTACCAAAAAACAATTTTACATCATAGAAATTTCTAAAGTGCACAGAGAAAGCAGTGGCAAAACAAAAGTGTAGCTAAGTAACAAGAAATTTGTCTCAAATAGACCCTAAGGTTTCATTTGGGATGGCTTTCTTATTGTTTCTTAAAGCAATATTTTAATTTTTATAGTAAAACGTTGTTTTAAAAAGCAGTGTAAGAAAGTCGTCCCAAACGAAGCCCAAGTCTTAGAACTCGCTTACATAACGTATGTAAATATAATCAAATTGATCATATTTACTTCAACATTACAATTATGAATCAGAATAACGCACCATCAACAATCAACAACTTCAAAATAAACAAAAACAACTATTTTGATGTGTAAATACTTGACTTCAGGTTTTCACAAAGCAAACAACTCCAGAATGTAAACAAACCCAGGGGCTTGTTGAGCCCTGTTTGGCTGTTTATATGGATGGCACTACAACTACGCATATCAAGAAAAGATTTAGCTAGGAAGGAAAATGCTAAATTTATGATTTATGCTTGAATTTCTCAATCAATTAACGTCATTTTGGATTAAAAAAGGGTGGTTGTGAAAAATTCCAGGTCAGAAGATTGACCTGAAGCAGGCTAGTCATTTCAAGTTTCAGCTAATGCCGCTTTGTTTTTGCTTCTCCTTTGATGAACATGAGTGTGGAAAGCTTGTTAATCTCATAAAGAAACCCAGCTGAAAAAAGGAAGCTGCATATAGATAAATAGAAGGGGAAGTTAATTAGTATTAGTATTAAGTTTATATAAATAATAGTATACCAAGATCAGCTAAATAAGAGTAATATTCATAAAATATATTGACAACAGAGTAGCACATTTGCGCATGCCCTCTAAGGCCATCTCCAACTGAGAAACCTAATTTTCACTCCAAAATATAGTAATACATCAACATGCAGTAACTTGTCTTCAATAGAACTCCGTTTTCTAACACTAAAATAATAATATTCGTAGTAATACATCAACATAATATTCTTTCCCATATTTTATTTTATATATTAAATAATTAATTTTTGAATAAGAAAAAATAAATAGCTGGTGAACAGTACGACGCCAATATCTGTTCACTCGCAATCAAATAGCGGCATTTTTGCCGATCGGATGGAGAGACGGAAGAACGCCATACATTTGTATGGTGTTCGGTTGGAGATGCCCTCTAACGGCCACAAATATTTTTGTTATTAGGGTTTAATTACCAAATACCAGGTTAACACAAGCAATCGGTAAAAGTTATTAATTATTACCATTATATATTTAGCCTATTTAAAACTGGTCTATGTATTGCTTGAGCAGTTGAGATGGGACTGTTTAAAAAAACCAAGTCTATGCAATATTTCTTTCAGATGAGGTTGTCCAACTGTTTTCTAACTTTTGTTTAAAAATATTGTAATCAATAGTAGACTAATCTTTATCTTAAGCGCATAAGATAAATTGGTCAACATAGTTGATTTGAGATAAACAAGTGAGAGATTATGATTGCAAAATTGATGATGTCAATGAAACCAAAGAAAGTATGTCAAGCTTTATGATTTCTTTTATTTTTTCTCATATCCACATAATTATCTTGTCAATTTAGTTTTTTTAGGATATGTTTGGAATAACTTTCTTATTATTTTATTTTTGAGATAACAACTACAATTTTGTTTAGCTACTGCTTTCTTATTATTTTCTCACTGCTTTTTCAAAAATTTCTATGATGAAAAACTACTTTCTGCAAACATAGGAGCAAATTTGTTTTATTCACAGAAACTTCACAACTAACTTTATAAAATGTTGCAGCCGTCCTAAACAGACCGTTAGTCAAACTGAATCAAATCATCTTAAAATCACCCAAATTCATTATAGATTCAGTTTGTACACTAAAGGACTTTGATATATTTTCAGAAACTTCTTTATATTACTAAATGTTTTTATAAGAGATTTTATATTGCACTCGAACATTTTGGGAGATGTTTTAATATCATTCACCAGTATTAGATAGCTACTCCCTGCTGTTAAGTCGTTTGGACTATGGACACGTTTTTAGTGCTGTCTTATTCCAGCTAGAACTGTCAAATGGGCCGTATTTAAATTGAGGGCTTCATTCGGTTGATTGAAGTTAGAAAACAAGTATTCAAAACTGAAGAATTTTCTAGATTACAATATTTTATTGGATTTACTTAGAAAAAAAAGTATGCCTTCAATTCTAAAATCTTGAAAATCCTTCAAAATTGATGATTTCCATTTCGGCAAATAAAATGAATGAACGCCAAATCAACATTTGTCCAAAACTTATTTTTTATACGCAAGCAATCAAATGAGACGTTAGGAGAAAGAAGCACACTCCATTTGAATTTGAATACTTCTTTGACGACGAGAGGATTGGTGGCATAGTGTTGAGAGGGAGAACTTAGGTGGTGATGATGGAGACAAAGATTAGTGGTTGGGACAAAATATTGGGGTTGGCTATGTAGGACAGCCAATACCGATAGCAAATTATAAACAAAAAAAAAAAAAAAAAAAAAAAAAAAAAAAAAAAAAAAAAAAAAAAAAAAACAGTTTCTTCTACCAAAGTATGTGCCTAAGGCCTCGTTTGGTAGCAAAAGGAGTTTTGGTGAGAAACGGCGGTTCAAAAACAGCCTTTTATCAATGGAGAAGCAAAAATAAAAAAGCTTTGCAAATCGGTACCATAATGGAGATTTGAAAAACATAGTTTTATAAAAAGTATGCATCCAAACAACAACAAACATCTTTTTTCACGTTTCAGAACATTAACGGCACTAATTACGCCCAACCAAACCAAGCTTAAGTTTAATTGAAGCCATGCAGTGCAATGCTAGAGATCCCAGGAATTCACACACTTTCGGTATAATTTTGATTATGCCGTCTCATTCATTATCCTTTAAGTTTAAGAAATTTTACATAAAAAACTTAAAAAGATAATCACTTTATAACGCAGGATTAATTACCAAAGTTCAGAATTAAAGCATGCAATTATTTGACCATAAATACAAGGACTATTTAAACCAATTTTATGTTATTGAGCAGAGGACCTAATCAAGTAAATCTAGGGATCTTTTAGTACATTTCAAAAACAAAACAACAAGCAACAATATCACCCTACGTAGACATTTCTAATGTAGAAAAATTTAATTTTATTTGTTTTGCCCAACCAAATGAAGAAAAGTAAAATCAACTTGAATATTTTAGAAGCAACTGAATATTTTAGAAGCAACAAAATATAAGAAGTCAAGATCACATCAAAGAAGTTGAGCCAAATAAAAGTCTCGTAATTTTACAAAATATGAAACTACAATGACACGATAGAATATGACCTATGATGCACCGACACACCTCTTGAAGAGAGAATGCAGTGTCGGACACGGACACAGACATGTGCCCGACACGGCTAGGACACGTGTCAGACACGGCAGATACATGTTCTACTAGAATAATGTTTAAATTTAACCCAACACGGCTGGGCACGTGTGACCTAATTTTTTATGATAAAATTATTTTAATTGTAAATATATGATATCCAATGAACTATTATGAGAGAGAACTAGAGAATTAGAGAAGTATAGAAGTAAATAGACACATTCTTTGTGATTTAGATTAGATGATAAAGAAATATTATAGGAGAGAACTAGCGAACTAGAGAAGTAAAAAAATGCAAAAAAGAACCAACTTTCATTATATGATATCCAATGAAATATTGCAAATCTTTCTCTTGTTGAACCAGAGTTGAAAGCAGTGATATTCAATGATGATGATATTGAAGGCCAAAAATAAACCTTTAAAGCTAATCCTAGTAGTTGAAGCTTGAATGCTTGATGTTGTAGTAAGTGATTATTTGTTTATATTTTTGTGGTTCTATTAGATATTTTAAAATAAATATTTTATATTAGAAGTTAGACAAGTTATCATGTCATTCATTTATTATTATTTGTCATTTTTAATATGATGTTACATTAATATCTATACACTATATAAAAAAATATAATGTCGCGTCCGAGCCGTACCAGTGTCCTATATTTTCAAAAAAAGTGGTGTCTCGTGTCCGTGTCGTGACATGTCCGTGTCGCCGTATTCGTGTCCGTGCATCATAGAATATGACGCAGAAAGTTATTAACCAATAAATATCTCTAAAAAAATTAGATGCCCTGGTACCAAATATGATACAAGACAAATGCAAACCTACATTCAAATGCAAAAATATGAAAGAAAACACCAAATGTTCAATATATTCTTTAATAAAAAATAAAGCAAGCATGTGTCTCCCAAATCAGCCCCATTTCCTTAAATAATTCTCTTTCAAATTTGAATTCAAATTAAATCACTTTCCCTAATTAATCCCTCTCAATTATAATTAAAACTTTCCTAAGGAATTCCCCGTTGATTCCTCATTACATAATGAATATTAACTCCCCTGTGCTTTCCCTAAATAATTCCCTCTTAGATTTGAATTCAAATTAGATTTCTTTCCCTAATTAATTCCCTCCCAATTTTAATTAATTTTTTTCTAAACAATTCTCCATCTCCTCCTTGCTTGCCACCCACTCTAGTGGGGCCCAACGAAGGAAATTATTGTCGACGCACTAAACTAATAGCAATGAACTAGAAAATGGACTGACATTGGGTCGAACAATCTTTGCCTCGAGCATCTCCTTGATCAATCTCTATATCTCTTCGTTTTGGATTTGGGGATGAAGGTACAGACGAACACTACTAGATGAGACTCATTCCTTCAAGATGATAGCATGCTCGCATTCCTGCATAGGAGGCAACCCCTGAACTTGTTGGAACACCCCTCGATATTATGAAACCCCTTAAGTAAAAGAAGCTAAACTCTTAAACAATGAGACGCCTTTTAATGTAATGATTAAAATTTCATTAAGAAAATCCGCAGTTAAGAGTGCTCATCTCGGAGAAATCTTGGGATGGGTGACCTCCTGAGAAGTTACACTAATAGGACAAAGCATAAGGCATTAAGGCCCTTAGGCCAAAGCGGAAAATATCTCGATAGTTAAGATTTTGAGCTGTTATAAAAAATATCAAAGCAATACACAAGCTGGAAGATGGGAACTAAGTGTCATACAAGACAAAGTACTATGCCATGCGAGCCACCTTTTGAACCTTGTATGAAATAAAATGTTATGTGGCAGGAGTCACCATTTGAACTTGTAGGGACCATCTCTAGAATCATATCTGCCAGGTGAATGAATCTGGGATCAAGACACTGATGAGGACGTTAGTTACTTAAATGAGAGATATTTTAAAACCTCTTAAGTAAAAGAAGCTAAACTCTTAAACATGGATGTGTCTTTTGGTGTAATTGTTAGAATTTCATTAAAAAACTCTGCAGTTAAGCAAGCTCATCCCGGACAAATCCTTATATCTTCTACCCTTTTTTTTCTCCTTCCAAACTCCGCAACTCCATCAAAAATCTCACTCCTTCACCCTTTCCCCTCCTTGAAAGTGGCTCCAAAGGTGGCATTTCCTCTTCTCCCCCCAACATTTCCACCCACTGATATTCCCCTCTCCTTATCGGATCAGGGTTTCCTCCACTCCCTTAGCCACCAGCGGCTCCCCCTGCATTCGACGATGCCGTTTTGATTTGGAGCTCGAGCATCATCCTCATTATCTCCTTTATGATGGCAAACTTTCCATCGATCTTCTCATGAATGGCTGAAATTTGACTTTGGAAATATGAATTTTAAATTTCAATTCTCCCCTTCCCACACTTCTACATTTATTTTATCAGAAGTACCCAGATCTATGCTCTGATACCAATTTAATAGGAAGTGGATGCAATTTCAGCAAAAGCAGATAACGACACAAGAAATTTAGGAAGAATAACACATAAAAACTCTTTTTTAAAAAACAACTAAGAAGAAAAAAACACAAGATAAAGTTGGATCTTTAACTAGAGAGGAAGATCCAGCTCTCCCAAATCCCTAGCCGTCGAACCATGTCTAGTGAATGGATGGATTTTGAGACTAATTAGATGAATTAGTCTTGGCAATTTACAGGTTGTAGTACTAGATGATAGGAGACAACCTCTTAGAGCTAACCTTTTAGCCTGTCGAACCAACTAAGTCAAACAAATCCATCCTCTCAGCTATCCTTGTGCAGTTCCATAAGAGATCAATCCAAATTCTTTGATTGATTGAATTCTTGTCTTTCAAGCCCTAGTCCTTAGATTTCGCTTTTACTTGTTGGGTTCTTGCCAACCCGACAAGTTGTGACATCATTTGTTCTTGAATAATTAAATCAAAATGCATCTTTCCCAATCATTTGATAACTTCTTAGCCTTAAAAAATTCATTAAAATATGTATTAACTAAGTCACGGTGTTATCTCTCATTCTTATACAAATCTTAATATAGATCTAAAGCTTTACCTTCATGCATCATTTTCAAAACCAATTCAATTTCTTCTTTCAATATCAACCAATGATAAACATCATTATTTTGTTCATTCCGCACTTAAAAAAAATCTTCACAAAACTTTCATTTAATAATTTCTCAAAATAACACTATCAACTTTCTTTGTTATTGTCTTCATCCTTGACTATGATCTTACTACATCAGCTGCTAGTTTTTATACCTCCCCATTTCATTTCGGTCTCTTCTTTGCAATGAATGAACTATTTCTAGACCCCCATAAAATGTCTAAATCAATCTTGTTGATGAAATTGACAAATTTACTAAAACTAGGTTTGGCCAAAATAAAGAATCCCAATTTATCTCCATTAGCAACTTATTTTCAAAGATAAACAATTTTCCACTTTTCGAATTCCACCACCATATGGTTAACTCTTTTTATGGTTTTCTTTATGATCATAAGATATACAGTCATGACAACTAACCTATATAAGATATACAGTCATAACAACCAATCTATGGTGCGGTGGGGTCAAACACTTTCCTAAAATTACCTTACAATCTCTGTAAAAAGATTTTTCTTTCCTTCCAAATTACCAAAATCTATATGTAGCTCGTTGGCCTTATTTTTGTAGATAATCAAGTTTCCTTCTCATGTTTCACACTATAAATTTTGCAAGATTATAGGCTACTATGAAATAAATTACATGTTATTCTATTTCAGTTCTATGCCCTATTTTATATTCGCCATGAATCTTCGCATATCCCATCCAATTAGAACATATATATATATATATAGCCACCTATTATTTTTTTTTTCTCAATTATACATGCATTAATTCATCCATCTTTTTTCCAAAACTACTATATATTTTTCAGCTAAAGGAGAATAAACACTAACCACATTTATAATATAATTTTTATAGTTGTTTTAAAAACATTCACAGAATTACTAACCCTATTCACCTCAATAACTTTATCTTATAACTCTCTATCAACTTGCCAAACATACAATAACTTATAACCTTCCTGAACGTCCTTAGGTGCTTTTCCCATTTTCATTAGTTTAGTATAAACAAATACTATTTATTCTTCAAGTAATCATTGTATCCACCAATTCTTGTATTCTCATTCAGTATCCGTAAAGTTCATGTAGCAATTATAATCTTTAGATTTAGACCTAGTCAACTAATTATTTTCCACCATAAATGGGTTAGGATGAAGATGTCAATTAGGGGTGATATTACTTTCCACCATAAGTTAGGGATGAAGATGTAGCTTCATCCTTAGCAATGAAAATCATCGTGTGGGTTCGTTATTAGCTCTAAAGAGGACTAGTGTAGGGTTGATCTTACCTGTTGAAAACGATTGTTGTTGACCATTTTAGTTAATATGGTGGTGTTGTGAGGACATGTTCTTCTTCATCAGTGACGAAGCCTCAATAGGATGAAATTCTTGGATGTAAGCTCATGATGAACCCAGACCATTATAAATCAGCCTGTCTACTCTATTCCTTTCTTTAATCTCACTATTTACTGGTAGTATAGATCACGGTTATTAATCTTTTCATCTTTATAAACCCATTTCAAATCAATTAACTCCTAAACAAAAAACTAACTCTCGAACCTCCATATAGGCCAACAGGAGGATTCATATAACCAATTAACAGATCAAATCTATGCACAGATCAATAACTTCAATGAAAGTTATGCATGACATGAGATAATTTTAGACATTTTTAATTTTTCCAAATTATTTTCATTAACAAAGTTAAATATATATAAGAACATTAAAAAAAAAATACCATGTTGTAATGCACACACGATGCACAGTGCTGGCAGCAATAAGAGCAATAGATTCTGCTAGGATAACTGCAAAAAATAGATAGCAAATCTATTAACAAAATGAATGTCAAACAAAAAACAGGCAAGCAATGCTACGCGTACCAGCACCCCATCCAGTTCTACTTCCGCATGACTCCTGATAGTTTCCGATGAACTGTAAGATATAACACAAAACAAACATCACATGATGAAAAGTTGGTATAGTGAAGGCTACTCATTTAAAAATGGATAAATCTGAAATTGTGCTACAAAATCATAGCATACTGCAGAAAAATGGCAACTGTCAATGATAAAAATAGTTCATATGTATATAAGGTGAAAAATATCAAAATAGTCCATAAACTATGAGTAAGTGTCAAATTTAGTCCCAGAGTTTAAGACCGCTCGAATTTAGTCCCTAGACTATTGAAGATTAATCCAATTTGATCCTAGAGCCAAAAATTAAAGTTAAAGTTAAAACCAAAGTTAAATGCGGGAGTATTTTAGATAGTGCAAGTGAATGTGAAATTACATTTATGATGTTGTTCTATTTTAGCATTTGATGTATTATAATAAATACAAAACTTAAATAATGAATAAATAGTAAAAGAAGTATTTGGAATGAGTATCAGGATAGCATGTTTCTATGATACATATTATACTGGTAATTATCATTTACCTTCTAGGAGATCTAACTAACTATTATATAACATTGTGAAATTAAAAAAAATAATAATTAAATATCTGCCTAACATTATATTTTCGTATTCAACTTCTACGAAATGAGTTAAAAGTTTTAATAATAAGCAATTTTAATAAATGAGTTAAAATTTTGAAATTATAATTTTTTTACTGAAGTGCCCTCCTCAAATTATAAAGTAGTGGGAGAGCAACAGCACTTTCCATCAAATGGAAATGGAACTATTTTGTTAATGTAGGGATCAAATTGGATCAATTTTTAATAGTGGATGAACTTAATTGAACACTTACTAATAATTAGGGAACTGTTTTGGACCTTTTTTTTTCTAGGGAAAAAGTTTATTGTTGAATTTAGTTCAGACGCAAGTCAATGGCATATAGCTATTCATGTTTAACAAAGGGGGTCATATGTTGTTTATCTTGTTATAATCCACCCCCATATTGCAAAGCTCAGGCTTCCATCCCAATTTAATGAAGTCTTGCTCTGAAGTTGAAGGCAAATTTACTATCAAATTATGTGAGACGCAGAAGTATGGCTTTGAAAAACACAACTATGCTAAGAATCTAATATGAGTCCAACACATTAAAACACTATATATGATAATGAACTTTTCTTGAATTTTCAATGGTTAGAGCCCAAATTTAAGAAATGATTCGAAAACTGTTGGAATTAATCATAAAATTTAAAAACGGTAAAAATAGCATATATAAATTAATAAAGAAGATTCCCATGCGGCATGATTTTCTTCTAATTAACAAAGCAAGGAAGGAAGAGAGGAACACTTGCACGTGTTTTTAAAATAATTATTTTCCTGGTTTTCTGTTTTCAATCATTACCATATGTGATTAGTGCAAATGAAAATTTGAGGAGAAAAATAAAATATCATTATTTGTTATAAAAAGATAGAATATGGCTTACGAATAAATAAATTTTGAGAAGATAACAAAGCTAAAAGAAAAGCATTACTGAGTATTATGAGCACTCGGACAAGCAGAAGAAAAGAAACAGTTTGCATATTAAATATAAACCGAAATAGCAATGCATATAAGCATGCATTGCGGTCACAAATGAGTTCAGCAGGGAGCTTAAACTAACAGTTACAAATTAAGGCTTGCATCCATGTCTTTGCAGATAAGAGAGGGAGGGTGAAATAACACATTAACAACTTACAGTTAGCATCACAACAAATAGAAGAGAGCTAATGAGGCCGCCAGCAATTGTCAAAACCTCAGAAGATGCAAATGCCCCTCTATACATCTCAAGGAGTGACAGAATAATAATGAATAAAAGAAGGGAATATAGCATTGATCTCCCTGGGCTCGCCATGAATTCAGATCTGCTCCAAAGAAATGAAAAGGTACAAGTGGTATTAGCAACCAACACCCTCTCTCTCTCTCAAAAAAAAAAAAAAAAAAACTTAAATTCGACTAGATAAAAGTTAAATATCACAACTGAAATTCTAAAACATCAGGAAAAATAACAATAATTTTGAACAATATCTAAAAACTTTCGATATAACTATTTGCATCCTTCTTTATTCAACGTTCTTGAATCTTTTTAAGATAATGTGATACGCCTTGGTATCAAAAACAACCCACGAAAAAGATGAATTCAACACAAACAGATTTTATTGCTAGGAAAACAAATAAGAAGAAGCAAGATACAATTGATCCTCAATTTGAGAGGAGGACCGGTCTCTCCTAAGTCCTAAGTCTCAAGATGCCGCTAGAGAACAAGCCCCAAGACACTAAGAAAACCAGAACTCTCACAAAACAATAGCATAACCCTAACTCTCCCCTTTCTCTCTTATTTAAAGCCTTCACAAAAATCAGCCCCCAAGATCCCCACTCCAATTTAGTCCCATGGGCCTGATTTGCTAATTGGGCGGAACAGTTGGCCTGCGTCGGCTATAAAATTGGGGTCGGCTAGACCGGTTTATCAATACCTTGTTCGCAAAGAACCACCTTGTCCTCAAGGTGGAAGGCCGGAAACTGCTTTTGCATCCTATCATAAGGTTCCCATATAGCATCATACTCATAAAGATCCTTTCATTTGATCAACACTTTTTTTATTCCTCCTCCCTGGCGTACCCCTTGCAATTCTAGTGATTCCAGTACCACTTCCAAATCTTCAGTTAGTGTTGCTAGCAACACTAGACTCGTTGTGTGATCCCCTATAGCTCTTTTCAGCTGTGACGCGTGGAAAACTAGATGTATGGTCACATTCGATGGTAGCTTTAATCGATACGACACTACTCTAATCCTCTCTTCTATCTCAAACGGGCCAAAGTATCACAAGGTCAACTTCTCATTCCTCCTATTGAGGGATGCGCCCTCCCTCCTCTCCTCTCCTCTCCTCGAATCCCCTCAAAGCTCTGTAATTCTACCAAAAATCCTCCTCCTACCTCATGTATGACCCTTACCATGGTTTTTAGTGACACCAGGCGTGCCAATCTTGGGTCACGGGCGGGTTCAGGTCGAACCCAGAAATGACCAGGCACAATTTGGGTCAACCCAAACCCGACCCTTTTTTACAAATGGGTCAATTTTCCGAACCCGAACCCGAACCCGCTTTGGGTTCGGGTCAACCTGACCCGGGGACACGGCAATGCCGTGAGCAGCTTCACGGCAGCGGGACGCAACAGTGGTCATACGAGGGAGTCGCAGGACTCGAGAGCGTGGCCATCTGCCAGCAGATGTGATGCGCACTCGTAATTCGCGAAGGAGGTGAAGCGACAGCGTCACTGCAGGCAGCGGGATGCGACGTGGTCAAGCGGGTGGGTCAGCGGGGCAGGTAGCTCGGTCACACAGGGGGGGGCGGTCAGCGAGCCCAGCTCAGCAGAGGGCAGCTCGATCATGCGGGGGCAGCTCAGTCAGCAGGTCAATCCGGGTCATTTTCGAGTTTTCGGGTCAGGCCGAACCCGACCGATTTTTAAAACGGGTCGAAAACTCTAACCCGAATAGACCCAGTTCGGGTTGACCCGAACCAAAAATTTTCGTGTCGGGTTCAAATCGGGTTTTCGGGTCGTGTCAAATATTGACACCCCTAAGTGGCACCATGGCTATGGAGAATCCTACATCTCCTTTAGTTATCATCCTCCTCCCTTCCAACATCGACTCCATTGTCAACATCCCCCAATTCACCTTATCTCCCAAGGTCTGTAGCCACATCATCCCCAGGATGACATCAGTGCCCCCCAACTCAAATGGGAGAAAATTCTTCATCATCTAGATCCCCTGTATGGTCAAGACAACCCCCTCATCAGAATTCTACTTTAGGTAAGGGATCTCCTTCAATCAGTTGCCCCTCCATCATGCCAAAACAAGCTTCTCAATTTCAATCGTGAGCCCCATCAATCAGCCGCCCCCTCCTCTTGACTAATTGCCTCTTTCCCTTTCACATCGTGGGCCCTATAGGCTTGATTTGCTGGGTGGGTGGAATAGCTGGCCTACACCGGCTGTAAAACTGGGGCCGGCTAGACCGTCCTTCTTGGACCGGTCTATCATAATGCTTAAAATGAATTAACAATTTAGCATCCTTAACTTTTTGCTGGAATTTTGTATCCAAAGTTCTTAATATGGGGTTTCACATCTTTGTAATCCATGCCCGCACATAAAAGTGCCCATTAAAATTTCATACAGTTACCCCTTTTGGCCACAAATAAATTATTATATTTATGATGAAATTTATCAGAAGGCATACATATTTGCACTTCCTCTTGTATGTGGGCATATGGTTAATAAACACTGATGAAGGGAAAAAAATATAATTAAGAATTCATCTTATTCTTATCCACTCCAGCTAACCAACAGGCTAATAACTGCCAACAAACAGAAGCTAGGAATCAGTATCCCAGGGGAAACCAGCCCATAAAAGAAGGTTGGTCCCTTGGGGATAGGAAGGCCATGCCTGAGAGAGGATCTGCTGATTCATTCAGCACATAAAAGGCTGGAATTTCACTTGAATTATGGTTATTATTTATTAACACTATTCCATATCCATTCCTAGGATTTAAGCTTTGAAATGGCCAATCTTGTATGAGGAATTGGTTACCTAGATTCTAAGAAAGTTGGTTTTAGAATTCAAATTTTAAGCAGATATTCTCTCCTTGACTACCATTTTTACATCATAAATAAGATCATTTCATGCAATGAAAATTTAAAAACATCAAGTTCAAAATCTTAAATTTCATATATCTCTCTATTTCTCTTCTCCTTTCCATTCCTATCTCTTTTCTCCAATCCCTGACTGGAGGTTGGAGCAGAGAATGCCATCAATAGGCAAACCCCTCTTCTTCCTTTCTCCCTCTTGGTTTTGGCTAGGATGGGAGCCAAATAACGCTAGGGAAAGTTGCCAAGCAACCAGGCCAAGCTTTGGAATGTTTTGGTTGGCTAAAATCTGTCTGAAAGAGTAAATTTATTGTCTAGAAAGCAAGTTTCTGCATCTATTAATAAAGAATGCAAGTTAATGATAGTGCGTACACTGAATGATGTTGTTAACAAACTCTAGAAAGCAAATTATTTAACATGTTGAAGTAAGAAAGGGAGTATGAACGTGTGAAGACTACTGCAATAGATTAGACAACAAGACGAATGCATTGGGTATGAGAAATTTGAACTTCCAATACAAGTTACAAGAAGAAGCATATATAAATTAAAACAAAAGTATCACACTCTTCAAATATCTAAAAACATGGCCTAATACATTCAAAAATATTAATTTCATCTACTATTTATCAAATACAATGTACATGCAAAAGTTCAAAGCCACAAAGTACTTATTTATTCCCTAAGGGCATCTCCAATTGAACGCCAAAAGTATGACGTCGTTCGGTCGCTCCAGCCGAACGTCAAATCTTCCGTTATTTGATTGCGGGTGAACAGTGCGACGTCAATATTGGCATAGCACTGTTCACCTACGCGATTTTTTCTGTCTCAACTGGATTTGCCGAAGAAACGTGCGAAAGAGGAGAAACGCGGTTACCTTCGCAGAAGCGCACAAAATGGAGTTCCATTGGAGATAAATCACGCCATTTTTGAGTTTCACTGGATTTTGGAGTAAAAATGGGATTTTCGGTTGGAGATGCCCTAACAATTTCTATTCTAGTTACATGTTGAATTTTGAAAACTGTTTGGCATAGTAAATATTAAATCTGGTTAAATCCCAGCAAAACAGCAGATATTTTCAAGATTTAGGATTTAAATGAAGAAGAATAAGAAACATAGCGAGTCAAGTGGTGTAATTTTTTTAAATTCTACTTCTCTTGCGATTTATTAAATTCAGAATTTAGCAATAAATGAGAAAATAACTGGATTTAAGTTCGTAGGATTTACCCAATAAATTGTTTGGCAAGATTCACCTAAGCCCTGGTTAACTTTTGGCTTAATCTTGCAACCAAACAGCCCCTAAAGGTTTGCTTCTACGAATCAGTGTTTTTTCTACATGGTAATCAGATTCTACAACAAGAAAGCAAGCCTCGAGCTTCAAGCATTTTAAAATTACTGAGATTTTTCCCATCACCCACCTTTCACTTACATAAAGCAGCCAGTAAAGCCTATTACGATTGGACATTTCATCCACCAGGAAATAACTTGCACATAGAGGCAAATCAGAGAAAATAAAAGAGCCTAAAATTATATTCCTTTTTCCTATTTATCTTCATAGAAACAGGGAGAAACCCAAACATTCAATTCCAACTCCTAATCAGAAATCCCATAGACGATAACATATGGCAATCAAATAAACAATCCGCCATTCTTCAAACCCTAGTTACTAAAACAGCAGACAAACTAATCACTAATACGCGCAAAATGCATCAAATTGAAGATCTGATTTCAGTTCAGCTGAAAAAAATATGATTGAGCGAGGAAAAAAACTGACCTTGAACGAAGAATCGTTCCCGCTATCTAGAGAAGAAGAATCTTCAACAGAACGACGAGCCGAATAGCAGACAGTCGCCCCCTGCCTTCCTGATCTGTTCGGGTCGAAAATAAGAAATAAAATCCAAAGCAGGCTTAGAATGGGCCAGCTGCTAATTTCAGCCCACTCCGATTAAAATATAGTTTAAATATTTTATATTAAAAATACTCGGATAAAACATTTTGGAAAAAAATATTAGATGACGATTAGGCAATAAGTGTTGAGTGTAGGGCATGTTGGAAAGCAGAGAGGCAAGACAGAGATGATGATAGGTGAAAATTTTAATTTTGAAAGTCTTGCCTCATCGCTCCTCCTCGATCACTGCTTGGAGTTCCGTGAGACCATCACTTAAGGTCCTGAGCTCCACCAGATCATCACTTGAGGCTTGGAATTCTGCTGGACTACCACATGAGGCCTAGACTTCTGCCGGACCAACACCTGAGGCCCGAACTTCTGCTAGACCGCCACTTGAGGCACGAACTTCTGTCGGACCACCATCTAAGGCTCGAACTTCTGTCGGACCACCACCTGAGGCCCGGACTTATGCCGGACCACCACTTGAGGTTCAAAATTATGCCGGAACACCACCTGAGGCCTAGACTTCTGCCGGACCATCACCTGAGACCCGGACTTTTGCCGGACTGCCACTTGACGCCCGAACTTTTGCCGGACCACCACCTGAGGCTCGGACTTCCGTTGGACCACCACCTGAGGCTCGGACTTCCGCTAGACCACCACATGAGGCTTGGACTTCTACCGAACCATCACATGAGACCCAAACTTCTACCAAACCACCACTTGATTCCCGAACTTCTGTCAGACTATCACCTGAGGTCTGGACTTCTATCAGACCACCACATAAGGCCCGGACTTCTATCGGACCACAACCTAAGGCCTGGACTTCTACTGGGCCGCCACCTGATGCAAAAGAGTTCTACCGAAGTTCTGCCCTACTACAATGGTCTTTCTGACCCCGATCTCTTGTCAATTACGATCTTTTGGACCCCTGTCTCCTGCCGAATATGGTCCTTTTAACCTATGTCGCCTACTACCATCCTTTCGACTTACATTGCCAAACAACAATCTTTTTGACCTCGGTCTCCTGTCTACTACGGTCCTTCCGACCTATATAGCCAGATAATGATCTTTCTCACCCCGGTTTCCTACCTACTATGGTCTTTCCGACCTACATCGTCAAACAATGATCTTTATAACCCCGAACTCCTGCTTACTACTGTCTTTCCGACATCTATCCTATCGACAATGGTCCTGCCAGCCAAACAAACATGTCTATGTTGATTATTATAAATCCCACCATGTAATGTGTTTTATATGATGTACATTTATGATATCAAGCCAATGCCTTCTCCCTAAAAAGGCTCTCATTTGTAATCGATTGTAAATACTAGTGGATTCATTCAAACTGGGTCAGGCCCCGTGGTTTTTCCTTCTTTTCAGGGGTTTCCAAGTAAAAACTCTAGTGTCTCTTATAAATACTACACCTGAAAACAATACAAGACAATATGAACATTATGCACATAGTTGTTTAATCAATATCAATATGAATATATAATTATAAAAGTATGTAATAATCAATGAAATAGTGACATATTGTATTATCAATAAACATCGGTAGAATTGTATATCTCAAGAGTAGTGACCAATACTCGGTAACAATACACAAATGGTCGGTAAACTCTATCATTTATATATATCTTAGTTATAGAGCATTTTATATCTATCTCAATTCATAAAATATCAATGCCTTTATATCAGTTTTATCTATCTTATCAAATATTTGTATCATCCATAGTATGTATCTTATATAAATTATATCATTTCAATTATGTAATTTATCATATATATACATATCATATACATATGCAAGCACTATAAGCAAGAAAAAGCATCTAGATATCTATGATATTTTTCATGTATCCATTTATGTTGGTCAATCTTATAGGAATCAGTCTCAATCATATCAGTCTTATTTCTAAGAATCAACCATATCATAAGTCATTTAGGTCAAGTGAATATCACATTAGAAGTCGTCACTTTCCGCCCGTCGATGTATCATATCATATCAATTTGTTTTCTTATGAGTGTAAACAAGTTGAATTGAGCTCAAGTTTGGGCTAGTTTGAGCTCGACTCATCAACACAGAGACAACCTCGAGCTCGAACTTAAGTCATTGGAGTTGCAACGAGCTCGATCTCGACTCGTAAGCTTGCCTCACCAAAGAAATTGAATGCATGGTCATCATAGTTGTCATGGACTTGGCTTGCCGAAGAAGGAGATTGAGAGTCAAACTCGAGACACTAGCTCATGAGCTTTGCTCACAGGCTTCCGAGAAAAAGAGTGCTTGGGTTTTTTTTTGTTGGGAGAAGAACACAAAGTTTTTTTTAAAAACAAAACATTAGCTTTTCCCGAAAATTGTCACTTATAGGCTTACATTTATTACATTAAATAGGATTTAACTTTTTTCACCTTTTTTTTGCTATAATAAAAGAAATAATAAAAAAAACTTATAATAATACTTTTTTTTTACATATATCAACGTAATCGAGCTCAATTTGAAAGCAAACGAGCCTAGTCTCATTAAGCTTGAACTCGAGCTCGTTTAATATGCGAGCTCGAGCTCAAAGCTCGATAAGCATGACTCGTGAGCTTGTTACCAAGTCGAGTTTGAGTTAGCTCAGATCAGTTACAACCCTATGTCTCATTATGGATCAATTTTCATATCATTTAGAACTACTTCACAAATCTTATTTTAAAATAAAGCCTCGTCAGCTTACCTCTTGTACATTATAACATGTTTCCGGCCAACCTAAACCAATTAATCATTTCTGATCAGCCTTTCTTACGTATATAATATCACACACATAACATAATAAACATCTGCTATTGCACTCATAGTTCAATATATCATATTAATACATGTAAATTTTATATATGACTAAAATAACTAAATAAGTGAAATTCATTAAATAAAATAGTGTGCTCTTTTTCATTATGTACCTCCTGTAACATGTATGGCAAACATTGCTTTTATGAGGTTTTGACAATTATTTATCTAATTTTTATATTTATCTAAATATCTCAAATTAGAGATTTTTCCCAAAATAAAAAAATACACTATGAAAATTCAATATATTCATGTCAATATATGAAGAATGGTTAAAATTATAATATATTAAAAATTACACAGTAAAAATTTGCTAAAAATCAATATATTATAAATTTTGTAAATTCTAATCAAATTAAAACTCTTAAAATACAATATACACAAATTTATTGAAATTGGAGGTAGGGTAACAGGAGCATGCCTATTGTTAGCGAATGGTTTAGCGAACCCATTGTATTTACTTAATCGCCATTTCATTCCTATATATATTGGTCATATATTCAAGCTGGAATCATTCAATTCCATTTCAAATACAAGGCTCTCTCTCTCTCTCTCTCTCTCTCTCTCTCTCTCTCTCTCTCTCTATTTCTCAGCTCAGTGGCCATTTTGCCGCCATTCTCATATGGAATCAAGAGCCATCAATGGAGGATCAAGATTCAGTCGTCTCCATCCCTCCCTCTCCTTCAATTCTCTCCAGTCACACAACCACTGACCTAGGCATACCGATGCCGCTCAAGTTCCCCATCTCTAACATCAAGAACCTCATATCACACTCTCTTACCACCGATAACTATGCAATTTGGCGCATCCAAATCCTACAACAATTCTCCGCAAATGGATATGCCGGACATCTCACCGGTGTAACTCCTCCCACGGAAGCCTCTTCTCAAGATTCCACATAGTGGCATCTTGTGGACAACAACCTTATTTCCACATTGTTCTCCACAATTTTCCCCTCAATCCTACCGTATGTCATCTCCTCCAACACCGCCCAAGATGTATGGATGGTTCTTGAACATTATCTTCAACCCACCAGTCGCTTTCGAGTTATCCAACTCAAGAACGAACTTCATCACATCCAAATGAAGGACCTCACAATGCAACAATATCTTACTCAAATAAAATTCATCATTGACAACATCGTCGCTTCCGTATCAAAAATCGATCCGAAAGATATCGTTCTTTACATTCTTAATACCTATAATTCTTTCAAGACAGCTATTCGCATGTCCCTCCCTCCCATTGATCTAGATATGCTCTACGTACTCTCTCCTCTGCAGCAAGGAAATCAACATTCACCAATAACTCATAAAAGAATCCTTATCTGACTAAGGTGCTACCACCCTCTACACCATGTCTTACAACCAAATGCGTGGACGACCTCAGAAAGGATTTAACAAGACCAAGAATCTGTCAGGCATCCTGAATTCGCCCAGCCCTTCCGTTCAACTCACCAAGACCAATTTGTCAAATATGTGGCAAAACTGGCCACATCGCCATCAACTGCTGGTATCGCTACAATTTCAAATATGCCCCCACCACTTCAAGATCCCCCAAAGCTCTTCTCACTCAGCCAAACCCAAACACTACATAGGATTGGATTCTTGATTCGGGCGCTTCCACCCACCTCACACCGAACGACAGCAATCTACATCACTCCAACGCCTACCAAGGACCCGACACCATCTCAATCGCTAATGGATCGACGTTAACCATCCACAACTCCGATCAGGGACTCTTTCCGCTACCTGACACACGTCATAAGCTTCGTTTGTGTAATCTGCTTCATGTCCCATCTTTAACTCATAATATCTTATCCGTATCTAAATTAACATATGATAATTCTATCTCTATAAGTTTCGATGCTAATAGCTTTTAAATTAAGTATCTTCAGAACCATCATCCACTTCTTCGTGGGCATCTTCATAACGATTTTTATCAGATTCGACTGTCCCAAGACTCCTCTCCAACGGCTCTTTAATTAACATATGTGTCCTCCTTCCCGTTCGATCTCATACATTTTGACATTTGGGGGCCTGCATCGCAACAATCTTTAGACGGATTTCGATATTATATAGTCTTTATATATGACTTTACTTGATTTTCTTGGCTATACTTAATGCATTCAAAACAACATTTTTTTTTCAAAGTTTAAATTATTCTGCAATCTTGTTAAAACCCAATTTCATATCACTCTTAAAACCTTTTG